CAATTCACTTTAAATCCCTTGGTGGGTTTCTCAGGTCTGATCTTTTAGAAATTATGATTCCATCTTCTCACTCCGTGCTGTATAACATGGTAGCCATGAGCCACATATGGCTACTTAAATTGAAATTAAATAAAATTTAAAATTCAGTTATTTAGTGACACTGACCACATTTCAAATACCAACTGGACACATGTGGTCAGTTATTTAAGATATAAGTTGAAAGTGTCAGGTTAGGGAGGGCTTAGGGAATTGGTGCTGAAGACTACTTACTCTCTTTACCCTCCACTAATGAACACTGCAGGCATCTACAGTAATCATATCTAAAATATAGGCAGACAGATAGACAGACAGGAAAAGGGCACACCGTGCCTTATGAAAATTCTATACATTTTTAAAGTAATCATGTCATTTTTAGTCTCTCTTTTGGAGGATGTTATTTATTGTTAAGACATCATTTTTATTAAATACACTGTAGTACAAGAGACTTTCCATGTCAGGTTGAGAGAAGGTGGTCACATGATTTACAAACAAAACTTTTTATTTTTAAACATTGATATTCTGGTGTCACTTTGAAATCAGCCAAGATGCAGTGGGTCTTAGTAAAGCAATGGACCTCAAAACAGATTGCAAAACAGGAACCAGTAATTATTAGCACAGAGACGTCACATTAAAAAGAAAATAAAGCAAATAAAGAGTTCCAAATACCAGGTCACAATTTAAGGGGCAATATAAGGGGCAATATATCTTCAGAGAGATATTGAAATGTGTGTGTATATGTGTGTATGTGTGTGTGTGTGTGTGTGTGTATGGCCCGGATATATACAAACATCTCTCCATGTACAGAAGCAAATGCAGAGAGTGTCCACATCTCTAGGCAGATTTGTAACTGACAGATAATGATCAATGAAGGCAGGGAGCAATATTTTACCATAATTTGGTCATTTGTCAAGAGATTACATATTTAAAGTCCACATTTAATTCAAATACCTTGCATTTAAAACATTTCCAGCAGTTTTATACATTTTTAAAGCAATAGTAAGATATACAAGCTGCAAGATGTAGGTTGTTACATTTCATTTTATGTTCTCCAATTTTCATTTTCCAGTTCAACCATGACTATTAGCAGCTTTTATTATGCTTGCTCCAGTATGTTCAACAGTCAGCCAACCTTCACTTGGGATCATTTTTATGAATGCACAGACCAAAGGAATAAAAAAAACACAGACCTGGCCTAGAATGCATAGACTAAAAAAATGACATCCCATGTTTTCCCATTTCGTCTCCTGAGACGTATGGTAAGATGGCAAAATAGTTGCTTGGTTGTTGATGTGAAATTCACAGTGTTTTGCCTGCAACACATATACATATACATATATATATTTTTTGCTTTGCTTTGTGTTTGTGATAAATGGAGCAAAATAAATAGATAGATAGATAGATAAATAAATAAATAAATAAATAAATAAATAAATAAGAAGAGAAAGGGGAAACATCAGAACCTAAAGATATTGAATAACCTTTGACTCGAGAAGCAGTGATTCATTCCAGCCTTGACAACAAGAAAATACCCTTCATGTACTGTCATATTTAACTACAAATACCGCCCACCTCTAATTCTCTAGAATAACATTTGCTATCACAACCTGGGAGTCTCTGCATTCCACAATGACACATCGTAAAGAAACTGCTTTAACTGCTCACTTAGCCATCTGAGGAGTTAAATCACCAGCCATCCCTCTCGTGAAATTTTCTGAAACAGTGATTGAGGGCCAAATCAAAGGTCAAACATTGGAGATAAAAGTCCTCCATTGAAAGGGAAGAGAGAGAGAGAGAGAGAGAGAGAGAGAGAGAGAGAGAGAGAACGAACTGAGGGTGTGTATATGCAGTCATTTATCTAATTAGACACATAATTTAATGCTGTTGGCATTATAGAAGGTCCATTTTGCAAAAGGAAAGGGTAAAAAAAATAGCCTACTCCTGACCAGGGGCTCCTTTCCTCATGGTTCTTTGCCAAGGACAGACTTGTGCCTTGTTGTTGCTTGCGCTCCCACCTGGATGTGGGAATTCCTCAGAGTTGCTCACCTCAGTGTGGGGTCTTGGACTTCTCCCCATTGGCCTTTGAAGCACTGGGCTCCCAACATTCCCACTCTCTCTGGAATGTCTGAACTCTGAACACAAGAAATAAAGGGGTCATAATGGGACAAGATGAGCTAACACAAAGGAGCAAAAAAGATGGGAAAAAAATCCATGTTCCTTTCTTGGACCTTTACAGAAGGAGATCTAGCTCAGTTCGCATTTTCCTTTGCATGGAGCCAGAGAAAGGACTCGGTGTGGTGGGATGGCTTTGAGTCAGTTATTTTGGGAAGCACATTGTCTTAACCAGGCTTTCCTCCCGTGAAATACTGCACAGAGTTGAGAAGTGTGGTGTAGTCCTATCCACATGGAGAATGGAAGCACTAACAGCAACACGACGTTAAAGAGTTTTGGTTATGTAGCAGATTTTAAGCAAATTATTCATACTGCACCCTACTTATAATTATCTCTATTACTGTGTGCCTATACATTTATACATAAGCACACAAACACACTATGTTTGCGTGCTTGTCTATGTATAAATCAAGTATTTTTAACACACATATAAATACATAAACATACCACAGGTAGCGCTGATGTAAACACATATGCATAATATGAATTCTGATATAATCCTTTATAGCATAGTTCAAAATATTTCCTAAATAAGCCTGATTATGACATTGGTTCAGTGTACAAGGATTTAGCTTAAGCTATGAGCATGATTATATACCACTTTATCTCAGCTGCTTGTCATCTCATGTGTTTCATTTTGTTCTTCTAACTTCATATCCTGCTTCATGAATTTGTTAGTGTTCTTTCCTGGATTGGAGTCTCTGGTGGACTGAATCATGAACTTCAGAGTCAGAACATTTAGACTCAGTCCCAGTGGTGTCAGAAGCTAGCCTGCAGATTTCTAGCATGCCATTGAACTTCCCCGAGTCTTAATTTCCTCACCTATAAAAAAAATGGGACTCGTTTGCTAACATATGTGAAAAACGTTTAGAAAACTAGGAAACAATTTATTAATGGGAATGACTGTCAGAGTTTGGGCTAGAGAATTAGGTCTGACACTACTCTTGTTGCGGGTTTTAATGAATTTGATGGCAGGCTACATTTTAGAGGGAGATTGCTCCTTTTCTAAAAGTGAGAAGAGCATGAGAAGAGGGGATTGTGGAGGACCAGTGTGGAACACCTGAAGATATTCTGTGGTTCATTCAGCTACTTTTAAAGCAATCTGGTATTCTTTCAATGCAAGACGTTGCCGAAATCAGTACATACTCTTGAGACAACAGAGGGAAAAACAAGAAGCATATGAATAACTACAGAGCTTTGCACTTGCATAGAACCTTTCATTTCAAGACCTTGAGGGACTTGTCAAAAGGTAAGGAGAGGTGTGTATTTGTTTTTGCTTTTTTTTTTTTTTGCTTTTATTCCTCAGAGGAAAACAACACTGGAATGGAATGGGATGCTCCCATCTTCTCATGTGCCTTAAACAAATCCTTGCTCTAAAACTGCACAGCCTTCCTTGAACTTGATCCTTTAGAGCACTGCCTCTTTGCTCTCCATTAAAATAAGACAAATAAGTTGCAGCTTCTCCTCCCAGAGCAGCTGGCCAGTCCCGCAGAATGGCAAACCTGTGCAGGTTTTCAGGTCACCGCTGATGGAATCTAGAAAAGTTTTGTACAAATCTGCCCCTTTTTACTGCTTCACGGAGTGCCACAGTGTTTGAACAGTACCATGGGTCCTTAATAGGATATATACGTGCAGGTATATATCATGGAGATATGGCTTTCATTATATTATTATGTGTATTCTGGTGGGTTTTTTTCACTGACAAAGAGAAAAAACAACTCAACTCCACGATCTATAGGCCAGCGCAGAGCTTGAAGAGACTGTAAGGTTTGTCTTGTCCGACCCCCTTCACTTGACTGCAGATGCTAATGGATTTCCTTTTGTTCTCTGTGAATTGACTTTTTTTTTTAGAACTGGCTTTTTCAAACCCTATAATGAAAAATAAGGGTGTTCCAGTAATTAAGGGCACAAGTAAAACCTAAACAGAGCAATTGCACCTTCAGAAACAAATATGAAATAAAATGACTTAAGATGAATTAAAATCACTCCCTTTCAATCTGGCTCGTGTTATAAAGATGTCAAGTTAGCAAAATTCCCCTCACAGAGGGTATCAAGTTTTCTTGAGGAACAGAAATATTGTTCTTCCTTGGTGTAACTGATCACCCAAATAACTGTAAATTTCTATTTAAATTTACAACCTCACTTCACAAAACCTGTGATGGTGCCCAGAAGCACACCTCCAAAGCTCGTTCTGGGCATAACCTCCCGTTGGCATGCTGTGCCTAATTCTTTATTTTACTTCTTTAAATGGAGTGAAGGAAACAAAACAGCATACTGACAGTGGAGTACACTTGGAATGAAACCACTCTCCCAACCGGAGCCCCAGCGAGGACTGGCCTGCATACACTGAACACCAATGCATACAACGTGCCCGGAGATGAGGTGTCCTTTCTCTCGGGGACTGACTTAGCCCTTCCCACAGTCCCACAGTCTCACAGTGGGTTCGACGTGCATGAGGACATCCGGGTTTCAGGGTCCGTATTTGTTGAAACCCATCACCACCCTACGGCCCAGAGACATTTATACCCAGCTAATGAGTTCCATTAGCTTCCCCTCATTATGTAAGTTACACCTTTTATGAATCTGCTCTACATGGCAGGGGCACGACGTCTGGAGCAGTAGTTTCTGCATACAAGGTAGTAATCGACGAAGACCATGCACAATTTTGCTTGCACAGTTAAAAGGACAGGCAGGTGGCGGGTAGGGGTTGGAGGGAAGTGCTGTCTGAAAAGTTCGATATAAGAGAAGCTTGCCTCCGAATGTAGAGCTCTTCCTATCTTTTCCAAGTCCTTGGCTTTTCTACCCCACCCTGAAATGAGCTCGGGACAAGAGTCCACCTATTTTCAACAGAACTTGACAAAGGGTCATTTGATAACATCTGGAGAAACAAGCCCGTGCTATTACTGTGACCTACAAAGACAGGATGTCTGAGTGTGGGAGGCGCCATCTCCTCTCTCACGGAGCCATCTTTTCTCTCTACTACACTCTAGAGTTTCTGCTGTTGGGAATGGGTAGTCCATGTCACAGAGTTCAACAGTCTTTTCACTCCTCAGAAAGGTCCTCAAAGGAAGGTGCCGAATACATTCCTCCCAGCTAACAGCGGCTGGGTTTTTCCTAAGTAGGGACGGATCCCAGTGGTTGTCTTTGTTCCTTCCATATTGCGGTTCATAATAAAATCTTCTCTCTCTGGTTTCAGTCTCCCATACTAAAAGGGCTTTCCAGATTGAACACAAGTTTTCCTTTTTTCACACACGGGCTTAAGCCATCCAAAAACAATAAGAAATGTAATAATAATAATAAATAAATAGAAGTGAATCCATAGAAACTCTCGATGTCTGTACAGCAGGAATGACAAAGTTTAAGTCAAAATTTGTTTTCCCTTTTTTTCATCCACATCAAAGGCAGGAATACAACAAGGCATTGTTAGTTGTGGTGGGCAAACTGGAGTGTCTGCTGATATAACAAATTAGGTTTGTTAAGGCCTTTGTCTATGCAGAGTTAAGAGTAATGCAGAAGCCAGATCGATTAGAAAAGAAAGGTAGGACTGTGAAGCAGGGAAGACAAAAAAAGTCAATACAAAACAAAAACTAGGGAACAAACCAAGGGAGATGGAAAGAGAGAAAGAGATAATGCCAAAAAGAAGTCCATACTGTGTCTACCGATGGAGAAGTACACATTGCTTCCCTCTGAAAGCTTCGTGGTGTCTTTGTTGTTAATACTGTCAGAGTAGAGAACAGCAGATTGATGGCATCCAGCAGCAGTGAAAAGACGTTCATCCTCTCAGCCCATCTGAGGAGGTGCTTTGGGAAGGATCGGTCTGGGGGAAAGAGCCCTAGCCTAGAATATCCAGATAGACCGGAGATGCCTTGGCCAAGTTCTGAAGGAGGGTGTGGATGCCCTTGATGTTCTTCCTCATGTGGGGTTCTCGCTGCCAGCACCCCAGCATCAACTCGTAGACCTCCTGCGGGCATGTTCGAGGTCTCTGCAAGACTCGGCCCTGAGTGATGCATTCTATCACCTGGACAGAGAGCAAAGATAGGATCAGAAGAGAAACAATATAGGGGAAACAATACAGGTGAAATAAATGTCAGTGCAAAGAGAGGGCTGTTTTAAAGAAACCCATTCAATGTTACTTCTTTTCAGAAAGAAGAGAGCAATTATTATAGATTAGTATATTGTGTTTAATTGGATCACATCCATTTTTCAAGCACATTGATTTCACCAAACTGGTGGAGAAATGATTTATCTATATGGAATGACCCCAAACCTCATCCTAGAATTCCAGTTTTACTGGCCTGATATGGAACCTAGGCCACTTTCATGTCAGGGTGCTGATTGATGAGAGACCCGCAGGCTGTAGAAATGAGTGGTCATTTTGGATAACAAATTTGGGTAAAAGACAGACTTGAGCCTGAAGATGTTAGGTGCCTAACCAAAAAGCTATGCCTCAAATATAGGCATATTTGCAAAAGGATTAGAATAGGGAAACAAAATGCTTGAGTTTTCACTAGAAGTGCATGGTCCAGTGAAATGTGCAAAAAGGAAAGAACCTTGAAACCTTCCTGGAATAATATACAAAAGCTAACTGGACTCTCAGGGTGCTGGAATGTCACATCTGCTATTAATTTGCTAGGTGAGCAGCACATAGCGATTCTTCATCACAGAGGATGCCAAGTATGTCAGTAAACACTGTGATTTTCTTACGTTTCCAGAGTGACTATACTTCAGCCATGACCTTCAGCCATACAGCAAGCCATTTGGGAGGTGCTGCACCCAACAAAGCCACATAAGGCCTTGTCCTGTGTCCTAACTTTTGGCCAAGGGGCGCCTCTCAGTGTTAGCCCTTCCGGAGGGTCTCACCCAGCCCACTGCGCACCTCGTTGTTGGACAGCTGGTACCAGGGCTGTTTGCCATACGTGAAGATCTCCCACAACACCACCCCCAGGCTCCAGACGTCACTTTCTGTGGTGAACTTCCTGTACATGATGCTCTCTGGAGGCATCCAACGAATGGGCAGCATCGTGTGGCCACCAACCTGGGGGGAAAGGGGTGAACAAGGAGGCATGAGTCATCTCCACACAACATTCCCACTATCAGAGGAAAAGGTGCTTGAATTTATTGATTTTAATGGATTATAAACACATAAGGAAAATAAGATTTCTTTATAATCCCAATCTCCAGAGTCAGAGGGCAAAGAATGGTCAACAAAATTTTTTCATATTATTTGCAATCATCTCTCAGAACTAAATAGGGGCAGAGATGACAGTTGGGTGGATGTTCATTTGGATACACACACACACATGTATATCCTGGTTTGAGGATGACTCAACCTTCTAATCAACAAGATAACTTTGATGAGGATAACAAGTATGGAGCTCTTCATTCAAAAATGACCCACCAAGTGACTCTACTTCCTTAGCAAGGCCAGAGCTTCCTTCCAATTTAAGATGTTAGGACAGTGCACAGTGCTTCCTTAAACAACCTCCCCACAACCCAGCAATGAACAAGGCAGAAATTATTCCTATTTTACAGATGAGGCAACTGAGATTCAGGTTGCTATAGACACAAAGAAGTCAGGTATTTGGACTCCAAGATCAGGACTTTTCTCTATGACAAGGCACTGCAACTGAGCTTATTTACAAAAATAAATAAGTAACTATGGTTTTGAAAAGCTCATTTTTAGTAAAAACATGGAGGGTGAGGCATTAGATGGCAAAAGCATTAGCACAGGCAAAGAGAACATTGTCTGACAAAGGAGACTCGTTCATGATTTCCTACTTCCTGGAGAAAAGTGAAGTATTCCATTTTCATATTTGTAGCCCATTAGGGCTGTCTCATTTTAAAACTATGATCAGATTTCTAGACAGTGGCCCTGTGGGTGGTAGGTCCTACTTTTCATGCTGGTAAACCCCAGCACAACCAGCCCAAATGCCATGCCTGACCCTGGGGCAGCAAGCGGGCTCACAGACAACTGAATCAGACCTCACTGACAACTCTCAGCCCCTGGGTTCTAAGACTAATGCCACATAGAGTTTCTGCCCAATTATCATTCTCAATATCCATTTCTGACTCATTAAAGGAAGGAAATGGACTAACAGTGCCTGAAAAATGCTGCTCAACTCCAGAGCCCAAGGAGCTGAGAGGGTCAGAGAGTCTAATTTGCTTGGTGATTTCAAATAGTGCTCTTGGCACCAAAGAAAGCACAAATGTGAAAGGAGGAGGGTGTTATTGTTGTTTTTTTCTGTGCAATGACTCCAAATCCAACAAGTAGGAATTTAACTTGCTGATTCTGGGTTAGGGTGTTCCCATATCCTTACTATTCAGCTTTGAATACACCAAAAACTCCTACACTAAGTAAAGGCTGGTTGCCCTCCTCAACTTTTGATTTTCTCACTTGCTTCTTACCCCTGCAGTGATAGGTAGTCACAGTTCAATGAGCACAGATTTCCCTCATGAAACTGCCTGGACATGCACTACTCACCATCAGGATTGATAGTCAAAACACAACCTGTATGACACAGGCATTGACTGACCAGAAAGGATGCTGGTGGTTAACTAGTTTGAAGGTGTGTTCCCAGGGAAGAAGTAGAGAGATAGAGAACCATTTACGTATATCTCCTAGAACCAGACAGCTGAAAAACACACTCTGGGGCCCATTAATCTAGCAAGATACCAGACTTACCATATTCCTTGTGGATCCCCAGCTTCAATGCTGTGGACAACATTGAATTCATGACATTAGAAACGCTGGGGTCCAGGGCACACTCCAGTGTGCCATTTCCTAGTTAGGTAACCTTGACTAGCTGCCAAACCTCTCTGTGCCCTGATTTCTCCAAATATAAAATGTGGGTAACAATGAATAACTTCTAGGGTTATCGTGAGGTTAATACCTAAGCAGACCATATAAATTTCAATGCACTAAATACTTTCAAGGTGTTTCTTCCTTCTCTGTAATTTTACTGTCTGATTTCCTTAAAATGGGAAGCAGCCATTCTGGAGACATTAAGGAGAGTCAACACATACATCCTCCCATACTCCTCACCCAATGACAAGTGCTTTGGGGCTCTTGGGACTCCAGCACCTACTCTATCAGGTTTTCGGTCCTGTATTGCTAATGGCCAAATAAAAAGCTCCTGTTTCCTTTAAAGGAGAAAAAACAAGGTTTTAAATTTTGATTTACATGTTTTCCCATCTGATCATTTATTTTATGCTTGGACAGATTTTTCACTTGAATTCTTTCAAGAATCCCTTCTGGGATTTCACACATGCTGTTATAAATAATGCTTTCCTTATACTGATGTCAAACGGGTGAGTGTGGGAGAATCTAATAAAAGTTCAGATAGGGTTCACAAGTTTTCTAAACCCATTTAGAACATTTCTGAACATTTCTTTTGCAGCCCTTTCTCAGGATTTTGGAGCATGTCATACACACACACACACACACACACACACACACGGAATCACTGTGGTTACAAATTACCGTCACAGGATGGTTTTTGGAATCTCACAAAACCACATACTGTGCGGCAACAAACACAATGAGACATTTGTTTTGTATTGTGCTACTTGGCAACTTTCCCTCACACCCTTGCTTAAATATTTGTGACATGGAATACAATCTCAAGTATGACATTGGGAGTCAGAATTGTTTCTTTGAGGCCATGTGGCTTTCCCTAAACTCACCAGATAGAACTGATCAAATGGGAAACCCAGTTAGCTGGTTTATTTTCCTCATCCCCAGAGATTGGGGTTCTAGTTCTATAATTACCTACCACCACTTCACCACCATAATCATCCATTAACACTTATAACCTCACCTTTACAAAGAATTTTACTCAGTTATCTCATTTGAACTCAATAGTTACCATTTGGGGTGGACATTGGCTTGCCTTCATATTACAAACCATGTCCCCAAAGTTCAAAGAATTAAGTAGCTTACCTAGAGCCAAACACATAATGCCTCCCCTTTGATGCATCTCATTCTGATGGGTCACTCGTGTTTCCAGCTTCTGCAGTCTCCAACACCTGCCCTGTGTGTTTAGCCAGCAAGCTTATTTGTGGCTCCTTAACTAAGCTGACATGACTCAAGTCTGTTGGAAATTTTGATCTCCTTTCCTTTCTAACTACTTCCCGAAGATCTTAGAATGCTCAGGTCCCAGCATTTCAAGGAACTCTCTGTCCCTGCTGTAGCACTGTACCTTTTCTAAGTACCAGGATGCCCAGTGCCCCTTAGTACAGCTCTGGTAACACTGTAGGCCAGGCACTCCGTGTTTTTGGTAACAGATCACATGCCTCAAGAAAGGTGGATGCTAATCAGTTATGTCTGACAGGGCATTAGGGGTTTGGCTGGTATGCATATCATGTCTTCAAGTGGGTTTCTTGTGAGTACTAGTATTTTGGAAGGAAATCTCAAAGTGAGCTTTCAAAGGGATCAGCATTTGCTACTTTCCTATCCATCCTCCAATAAATTCTCTAAACTCTTGATAGAACCAAGTCTTAGATTAAATGGTTGGAAACTGGTTCACCTATTTGACACTTCAAATAAAAACCATTCAATGAAATTTGCAACTTCTTAATAAAATGCAACAAAAAATGTGGGGTTTCATATGGAGTATAAAAGCTAATGTGTATGAGAATCCCACTCATCAGGTTTCCATCTGTAGAGTAGATGGGGATGGGAATAGGGGTGCGGGGGGTGGTCTATGGCAGACCTGAACTATTCAATCTGGGAATGAAGTCTAAAAGGATTTCATAATGCACAACATGAAGGAAGTATTGTTCTATAGATGATGACTAACATGTCATATCTTAGGAGGCTGGGGACCAAGGACAAAGGCTTAAGAAGAAAGGCTGGAGCCTTTCTATAGGCCCAAGGAAAAGAAAAGGGCTGAATGACCATCATGGCTGCTAATCATTGCAACATGGTAAAACCAGCAAGGCTAACCAGTACAATGTCTGAGGCCCATGGCCAAAAAGAAATCCTATAGTGACTAAAATAAATTAAATTACAGAAAATGAGTTCTGTTTTTAAACATATCAAGAAAAGAACTGTTCATTTAGCTTTTCATGTGATTTCTAGGATACCTCACAATTTTGATGGTGATATGTATTGGTCAAACACAAAAATAACAACTGTGTTCTAGTTAAAATACCTGGGATTTGGCATCTTTTAAATCTACCAGATTGAAAGGAACTTAACACAATAATTTCTGGAGAGAATATTAAAAAACCCTTGGTAAAACTGTCCTGTGTTAGAAATCAATGATTTTATTATTTTTAAATCAAATTAGACACATCTAATCGCTTCAACTGCAATATTTATTCCTTACCCAAGAAATACTCTTTAGGTGCATGCTTTTTGGTCATTAGGTTATAAGTTGTGAAAATCTCCCTGTCATTTAACAAACAATATGATTTATATTTTCTATATTGGAAAACTAGGATTTAGTGAAATCAAAGACCTTGCTAAGGAAGTATAGCTATAAATTGATGACCAGCAGTACTGAAGACAGCTCTCTATCCCACCACTATTCATGCTGAGAACCTAGGCTCTTTCTCATTTTTTAAAAATATAATTTTTTATTGATTTCAGAGAGGAAGGGAGAGGGAGAGAGAGATAGAAACATCGATGAGAGAGACACATCCATCAGCTGCCTCTTGCATGCTCCCTACTGGGGATTGAACCTGCAACCCTCTTGGTACATGGGATGATGCTCAATCCATTGAGCCACACCAGCCAGGCTCTTTCTCATTTTTTTCAAATATACAAAACATCTTTTTTCCTGGTACAAGTTAACCAAGAAGGCACAATTCATTTTCCAGGTGCACTGGGAGATGACAGAGGAGGTGACAAGCTTAGTTCTCCTCTTTCTGTTGGGCTTCACAAAAATTGCATCTACCATGCTCCTTGCTCCCTCATCATCTTCTCTTTTTCTACTACATCCTTTCTTCTCAGTGTTGCCTCCTCCCAGTCCATTCCTACTTCTGTTTCTTTGAATCTCCTCTCAAGTCCACTTGTCCAGTTCTATTTCAACT